TATTGTGACAGAATGCAAAGGTATTACTACACACAACTTACAGTTACTTTGCCTTTTACATTCAATACTCCACTCAATCTGTTACTGACATGCAGAAGTTGTGTAGCCACTAACACATCCTGTCAGTGTGATGCTATGGTGGTTCCAGATTTCTTCTGAACTTAAGTATATGGTGAGTCAGAGCTGGAGTCATGACAACATTAAATTGACCTGCTTAAAATATGTTGGGAAAATCCCTATTTAAAGGAACTTATTTCATTTTGGTTTTTACCCCTAGTTTTATCCTTTCACTTCTGGACTATATGAAACAGTGAAACATGATTTTTATAGGTTCTTAGAAAGATGTATGATATCCAAACTAGGCTTATTGTAAGAACCTTTCATAGATTCCAAAATTTTATTCAAAATGTAAAGTGACTTTTTTTCAAGATGAAAAACCTACTCTATATAATGTAACAATGTGTAATAATGGAATTAAAACAAAAAAATTGTACAATACATTTTATCAAAGAGAGGATTAAAAGTTATTTTAAAATTAAATATAAAAAATATGAGTTCTTGTGTTATTTCCTACAAGCACTTGTGGTACACAGAACTCTTTAAACATATTTTTTGAGATATTAAGGATTTACTCATTAAATTTAATTTAAAAGTGAATTGAGTGGCAGTTCAGGATCCAAGATTTCAAACTGGCCAACATTTTGATGCCATGTCAATACTGCAGCATCACCTTTTTCCTTCTCATTTGGCTCACATAGCAGTAGTCTGTAAACTGGAATCCAAAACATACTCTGGGAGCCTGGCTTTTAGCTTTGACTCACAGAAGCAAAAAACACATCTCACAGCTGCTTCCACCTATTGATCCACTTTTACAGTGCTGAAATACTTCTTGAAGTCAGTATCCAGTATCCAGTAGCTGGATATTAAACAAAATAATGCAACCTCTTTGGACAGATCCTTGAAGAGAAGGTGGAATCAGCACTTCAAAACTTTATTTAGGTTGTGTATTTCTGACTAGCACCTAATCTGCTGTTCACAGAGAAATTCAAGTTGGTACCAGGGGGAAAGATCTTTGAAGATGATCAGCCACAATTTTTTTTTTTTATATTACTTTACTTTTGGGCTGTTTTACAGACTCTCCCTCTCTGACTGCTTCAAAGTCAGGATGAAGTGATTTTTTTACTTTTTGCAAAAAGAACAACAGAAAAAAAAAACAAAGCAAAAGGAAAGGGAAATGAAATCTGAATACCTTTCTGAAAAGCTACTTCCAGTACTGCTAGGTTTCTCCTGGACATCCAGGCTCCAGTCTGTCCTGGAGATAATCCCTGTAGGGTGGCTGACATCAAGCTGTACTTTGGTTCTCCTCTACAAACTGACAAAACAGTTTTATCTTGCACCCAGTGGTGTTACCTCAACTAAACAAGTAAAGTGAGATTATGTCTTCTGTATCACAGGTATAAATGAAAATTAGTTTTGTTGATATCAAAGATGGTTGAGTTTGAAGGAGACACAGTGGTTGACATAGCTAAGAAAAGCAACTTTTTTGAGTGTACAGGTCCTTTTGTATTCCTTTTATGATCTGTTCTAACGTTATATCTCTGTCTAGGTCATGTTCTGTCATTTTGACTACAAGCATTTCTATAATTTTATTTTGGAGAAAAAGTCAATAGAACGTCTCTGAACATACCATCAAGCATTGTAAGTGGGAGCTGAATCCTCTCTTTTGTCATATGGCTGGGAAACAGCAATTTCTTTCTCTACAGTTTCTGAGAGGGATGGAAGTGGAAAATAAAAAGCAAAAAATATGCTTTTCCCCATCTTCCTCCCAAAACACAGATCTGATTCTTTTCCTTAATAGTAATAGCTTCTTTCTATTACAAAAAACTACCTTCCAGTGATTACAAAAAGTGAGTTTCACATCTGCAACTTCCAGAACAGCTTAAAATGGCATATGACAGACTGCATGACAAAAGAAATCTGACAGAATCCCTCCATCAATGGAGTCAGCCAGGGAAATGAACATGGTCATGGTCAAAATTTTCAGTCACCAGCTGTATGTGCAATAAACCGAGAAATGATTTGCAAACAATATTAATCCTGGAAGAAATATCTGATTAAACACTGCTTGGGTTTTCCTTCATAGAAGAGTTGAGAAGTTACAATAACAGAGAGTCTGTTTTCAAGAAGAAATAATGAACTATTATTTAAGAGCATGAAAAAAAAATGAAGAGGGATTTGCAATTATTTTCAAGTTTCAGAATGCTGTAATACCACAAAGAGAGTAACCCTAAGAAAAATATTACAAGGATATTACTTACTCCTAAGAACTCAAAATTAGTTTGATTTGCTGTTAGATTTGCTCCTCATTCTTATATTGAAAATCTGTTGTATTTACCTCAGTCCATTTATCATTCTTGCTTCTGCAGAAAAAGCAAGTTTACAAAAAAAAAATCCCATTTCAGTGCAATAGCTACAGTCTTTCGAGTTAATCCTTGCTATTGTCCATCCACAATATGCAGTTTTGCTTACCTCACATACAGGCAAGGAAACTCAAGGAAAGAAATGTAACTTTACAGTATTTCTTCCAAATAACAACTGGGGAAAAAAAATCCTTATTATGAATTTCTCTAAACATGCAGAACAGGAAGATTTTGTCCTTCTTGAACCAAAAACAAATGATACAAGAATTTTCTTCTATTTTCACTTTTAAACAGGATACTGCTAGTACCAGGATACTATGACTTAAATTTACTTTTAGGAAAGAAATGGAAGTCTGTTATTAAGCATCATTGCTATATATGTGCTTGAGGTAAAGAAAAAAAAAATCTTTCTCAAGGCCAGCTCTCCAGTCTTGATTTGGCTATGATAGTTGGACCTAAGTTAGTATTTACATGCTGGCACAACTCTTGTGTCTAATACATTTTTTCCAGATGGATAACAATATACAGATTAACTCAAAATAGACCTCTACTCACAGACTTTATAACAGCAAAAAGCATTTCTTTTCTATTACAATTAATCATTGATCAAACATTCGTACCTGCCTTGCTTAGACTGGCATATGAAATCATACTATTTTCCTGTTTTCCTTATTCTAAGCAGCATTTAAACTACACAATATAGCTTCCCCTTCCTATTTATGTCAGCTTCTCTTTAAATCAATTAAATTTTGGCTTTCCCCTCCCCTCAAAAGTGCATTGAATTGGCATTTAAATCAAGAAAACTAACACTTCTCTGTTGCTGAGATGTAAAAACTGCAGCCCTTTGTTTGCAAGCACTTTCATGTCCCATTTACCCATATCCTCTCAGGAGTTTGTTATAGCAACATTAGATATTAGTTAATGGAGCTGGTTCATTGCACACTTTGAAGAACTGGCACAAATCACTATGGGTTGGCAGGAGTGCTGCCAATGCTGAGCTGATCACAGTAGAAGAGGATGTGGCTGGCAGGAGGACACCTCTCTGGAGCAGAGATTTCTATCACACTGATGTCATTACAAAAACAAGTTGTTCATGGGGCCTAAGCAGATGAAAGTGAACAACATGCAGCCTTCCTCCCCTCACCACTCCCTGAAAAATAACTGTGTTTTGGTTTGGGGGGGTAGTGTGGGTTTTAATAGCTTATCAGCTGTTTGAGCCTGTTCTGCACCCCAAATTTGGGCTCTGTAAAGGACAGAAGCAGCTTAATCTCAATGAGTAATAAGGGAACTTGTGACTTCTTTTCCACAGTGTTTCTTGAAATTGGTATTTCACATGTAAAATTATACTAAGGCTACAGCATCTCTTTCTTCTGTCATTTCAAGCATCTTCAAAGAGAGTCACAGTGACCTTGTAACTATGGTGTTGTCTTTCTCTCTTCCTTTACAACATGATCTTATAGCAAAAGGTGTTAGGGGCTTTTTCTTTTTCCAAGTCACATCAGACCTTGAAGTGACTAAAGGAAGAATGTGATGCACATACAACATAGGCTTTTCAGGGGGTTTTAAATTTTTCAAATACTTTGTTTTAAAAAGGAAAAATAAATACACATTAAAAAAAGAAAACCCAACCCACACAGCAACTCCACCCCAGGCAACATGGAACAGCAGTTTGCTTTTGGAGGCCAAAAATATGTCAGACAAAATACTGATTAAATCTTTATTAAGAAAAAAATCTAAGTATAAAAAAGGTCATTCTGTACACTCAGAGAACAAAGATGAAACTATACAATAGCAGTAAATTAAGACACAAGTCAATTTAAAGACCCTTGAAATCATGTTTTCAGAATTGTGCTCTTTTCTGCTGTCTGCAGAAAAAGACATGCAGAAAAAATCTGCCATGCATTTATTGCCTCCATCAAGACTGTGAACTCCCTGAAGCAGCCACTTCATACACCTTGGAGTTATGCATAACCATGACAACCATTAACCTATAATAAAAAGATGCTGGCTACATAAATGTTTGCTACTGTTAGTTCATCCAGTGATGAACAAATATCCAGCAGGTTTAATGATAGTACATCAAAAAGTTGCATAGATACTTGTCACAAATGTTATCATCCAGCCAAATACTTGCTATTTTCCATAATCCTTGATGCATTTCAGTCATGGCCAGTAGAATAAACAGTCGTTATACTAATTAGCTTCATTTAATCTTCAGCACTGCAATGTTATAGTACCTTTCAAGAGCATGGCAAAGGTACACTTGGATAACAACAAGAATGTGATTACTTTGAGTGGAATCCTTTGCCAGATCTAGCCCTCATAACTAGTATGACAGACAGCAGAATATTGATAGAATTAGTCACTTAGGAACAAGTAGATCTTTAAGCCACAACAAAGCAGGCAGAAGAAATCTAAAATGAACTAGAGGTATCAACTGATTAAGGCTGCTCTTCCCCTTGGAAGAGGTCAGTTTCTATTAGGATTACTGGTTTCTTGTGCATCTCCTCTATTCTGTCCTCAAATACCAGCATCCATAGGTAGGAATGAAGGTGGTACATGGGTACTTGTAGAAGTTGGGATCTATGCACTCTGCTTGATCAAAGAAACCAAACTATTGCTTGTTCATATAGTTGGACTTTCTAAAAAAATTTAAAAAAAAGTTATTGACAAGCATTCTTGTAAACTTACCCCTGTAACTGGTACATAAATACTGGATAAAAGTGCCACACAGCAGTCCTACTCTGGATTATAGATCTGAATCCTGTTTACATCAGTGTGACTGCCTATAGAGCTGGTATCTTGAAGGCAACTTAACTGAATCACGCATCTTCCTCCTAAACCTATGACGTCTTATTTTTACTGTCACTTTTCTCTAATTATTCAAGTAAGTCATCAGGATGTTTGAAACTTCCATTAGAGAAACATCACAAATTATTGCAAATCTGGAAAGAACACGGTAGGCCATGGATATGTCCATTAAGCAATATCATTGTAGCTACTGACAAATATTTTGAAAATACACTTTTCCACTTTCCTAAAGGTTTTGTTTTCTTCTTGCAGCTGAACCCAGACATTAGGAAGACCCCAAGCCTCTTGGAAAAACAAGTCTGTATGTAGCATCTCAGTCAGAAAAGCCATCATGCTGTCCTTTTCAACTGTTGGTACTGCAGAAATATATATAAAAAGGTTATAAATGGAATTTTCATTGTATTTACCTCAAAGATATTTGATGTAAAATATTTGGCTAAATATTTTTGAATGCATTCATTTCATCTTTTTAACATAAAATAAAATGGCCAAACACTATAAATGGTTGTGCAAGTTCTGTGCATAGATGATTAAATAAACATCACCATAACAGTGAAACAGTATTAGGCACTACCACCTGCATAATGTGAAGCAGCATATGAGTTTATTTGTTAAAATGAAAACATGGAGAGGTTCTATAGCCTTACACTTGATGTACAGTTGACTTAAATCATCAAAACAGCATTGCACCCCACCAGATGGCTTTAGCTGATCATGACTTGTTTACAAACACTTTTACCAAAGGAAAATCAGAGCAAGTAAGTAATCCCCACCATTTTAAAAACAGGACTCACCTGCTTGCTGAGAGTGTTTTTCTTCCAACAGTTGGTGGAGAGGGTTCACTATGGAAGAAGCTTTTTATCCACCAATATTTATCAACTAACTCTGGTAACCCTGCCAAAGGAGAAAAGCCCACAACATTAGACACTGGATGAGTAACAGGAAAAACTGAAAAGTGTTTCAAAGAAGGGAACAATACCATGCATTGCTTTGTCCTGCTCTGTGACGTTCACAGCATCCAAACAGCAGGAAGAGCTGGAAGAAACGCTGGATTCCGAGTTCAGTCTTGCTGCTCGTGGAGAACAGAGACACACATAATAAAAAAAGATGCTTTGAGAGAGTGCATTATTTATATGTCAGGAGTTTTTCAGTCATGCTGCTACCTCGGAGGAAACAATTTCACTGAGCTACAGAGTGTAACTTCTTTATTATATACACTGTTCTACTACAGTGGTTTTCATAAGAATTTCTGTATCAGTTTCTCTCTCACTCTACTTACACTTCCTTTAAAAGTATACTGAGATCTGTCTGCATAACTTTCACTGAAATCACTGACAAAATTTAAGATCATGGCCACACTGCTATCAAGACAAGCAAGTACATCCTTGAACATTCAAGTCCACAACAACCCAATTGCTCTACTTTCCCTTGTAACACAGGTAAATGCTACACTCACACTAGTTGTTCATCCTGGACCTAGGAATCCCAGTACACCACATGTACTCTCAAAGCAGTGATTATTTCACACATAAAGAAATAAAAATCCAAATTGACTTTGTATTGTGTCTAAATTTGCTAAGTAAATATGAAGTAAATAGGAAGTACAGGTAGAAACTTCCTAGGCTAGGACTTTTTCTAGGTCATGTTTTATAATTAAATATATTTAATTATATATGTATATGATAACCCAAATAAATAATTCTAAACAGAGTCGTTAAAAAAAAAAAAGGTAAATTAATAGCTAGAAGCAGATGGTCATGAAAACTAAAGTTCTGTGACAGGAAAAACTCTCCAATAAATTAAAAGCTATTAGGCAGAGACAACTCGGCCACTTTCTCGGGAGAGGCTCGGGAGGCTCAGCCTCCCTCCTCCAGAGGCGCTCCCCAGGCAGAAGGAAAGGAAGAGGGGAAATGGAGGGCGGGGGGTGTTTGGGGACAACACGCAGCTCCCGGCCCCGCCGAGCACTCACTCCTGTAGTACTGGTTCTTGGCCAGGAGGCAGCCGGCGGAGGGAACGGAGGCCATGGCAGCGACTCCAGGGGAATCCGGCTTTCTCCGGGGCGAGCCTGCGGGGGAAAAGGATGCGCTGTGCCGGGGGGAAGGATGCGCCCGGCGCGGGGAGCGGGGCCGCTGGCCCGGCCCTGCGGCTCACCTGCGTGTCCCAGGGACAGCGGCGGTCGACAAGCAGAAAGGGGACCCCGCTCCGCTGGCAGCTCCGGCGGGCCCCGGCCGCCCTTTATGCGCCGCGGCAGGCGGCTCCCCCCGCCCCGGGGCGGTGGCACAGGCGGGACGCGAGCGGGGCGGCGGCGGGGGAAGGAGGCCTCAGTCTCGGCCGCAGCCGCCCGGGTCGGCCCGGGACAGCCCGCACCGGCACCCTCGGTCCTTGCTGCTGCTCTCATCCCCAGCACTTCTCTGGAGTGCCTCAGGAGGGACTAGGAGCTGCTGCGTTAATCATTCTCTTCCCCACGGGGAACGGGAAGAGCGGGTGAAGCAGGACCGCCGCCTGTTTGGGTAAAACTTTTTGTTTTACCCAAGAAACGCGGACGTGGCTATGCATATAAACTAGTTTTAGTGAAGCCAAAGGAATGATCTCCACTTTCACGGCAATGAGCAAAACCTGTGATCATGTAGGCTTCGTAAAATTAGAACAAAGTCCAGGATAGGTCACAAAACTACTTTTACCTTCCCAATATAAATGCAGAGCTTCTTTTCACTGTTGTAATCATATTGCATGGCAAAACTAGTCCAACAGTGTGTCCTCACCTTTCAGAATTGTCAACAGAAAACTGGCTATTTGGTTTGCTCCTGCTCCATAACAAAATTTTTTGTCTTTTTTTTCCCTAGCAGGAGCTGTGGATAAGAACACAGAGGTGTAGTGTGTGTGTGATACCATGTTACCGTCACATCTACTTGAATAGCGCATTCCATCCCAAATGATAAGGACATAGCTCGTAATAGCTCCTAGTGTATTTATAAGGCTGTAAACTACACTGCTGAGAAGCCAGCTCTAAAACAATACCCACACAGCATTTGTAACAGGTAAGCAGAGTGTATTTTCATAGGCCTTCTTACTGATGTGCTGTCAGAGTCTTAACAACTTGGTGGTCTCTCCTGAGCAAAGATTGAAGGCTTATCACTGAGAAATCTTCATGACTGACACAGGAAATGCTTTGCAGATGAGTTCATACCAAGCACTATCACCAGTTACCCCATACATTTTTCCTGTTGTGTAAAAAAGCACTGTAAGAGTAGTAGTACTCACTGTTGCAGCTTCTTTTTTATGGATACCTAAATGTATTAGCTTGCTAATTCTGTTAGCTGTTAGTTCGTTGTATCAGTCACCTTTTTTCCTGCCTTAGTAATCAATTTCCATCTTCAGTCTTGTTCTGTTCAAGGGCAATAAACTTCTGCAACACCCCATTTGTTTTTGTCACCGTAAATGTCCTCACACTGAGCCCTCTGTTGAGTTGTCAGATCCATTCCCGAAAGAGAGGAAGCTTCTTCCCAAAGAGCCATAGGAAATCATCTTCTTGGACTGTGAGGGTGGGCATTTGTAGTGATAGCACTGTGTCCTAGACAGAACTAGTAACCTTACCATTTATTGTATCTGCTTTTGTCTTTCAGCTTTAAAATCCTGGTTTAATATACTCATTGGTTTGTCAAGTACATTATCAGAAAAGCTGTTTAGGCTCTAACATGCCCATGTTATAGGCTTTGTATTTGACGAGAAAACAGACGTAAGTATCTCTCTTGCGAACCTCACAAACATCTATCCATTTCAGAGCCGTGCCAAAGTACTCAGGAACTGGGGAACACCAGGTCTATAAAATTTTCAATTGCTTCACTGCTGCATGTGTATAATTTGGCTTTATCATTTAGCATACATGGTCATTTACCACTTTTGTTTTGGAGCCCTGTTTAATGCACTGGAATAGGTAGGGCTTATTTAATGAGAAATTGTCCACTATTTCTCTCACTCAATCTGTTATTATATCCTATCTACTATATTTTCTTCTAGTAAGAATACAGAATCCTCTGAATATAGAACTGCAGGTTTCTCCAGTGTTTTTTCTTGCATGGTCATTCTGGCAGACTGTTTCTAAAATACTGGCACAATTTTTTAAAGTATTGTTACAAAACCAAGGCATGCTATTATCTTCAGCTAGCAAGAGGGAATTTTGAGATCCAAAGGAGCTAAGATAAAGTTATCCACAAATCTTGCATGTCTCATGTGAAAACAGTTTAGGACTTATTTTTTTTTAACTACTTCATGCCATACTTCATTTACCCATTTACACCTGTCCTTTACTTCAGATCCAGGTTTAAGTACTCAGTGCATTGATAAATCAGATTCTCAATCAGACATTGAAAAACTTGCTTAGTGGCCACCTATGATTGAGTAACTCACATAGCATCAATTACAAACTCATGCACAAGGTTACAATTTAGCTTTCAAGACAACATTCAATTGCCTTAACCACTGACCCGTTCTTTTCTCCCTGGAAGCCTTGGCTGCATCACTACTCAAATTCTGTTGTGAATATGGAAGTAGTCCTCTTAAATACATGCTGTAGCCTCTTGAATATAACAAACTCAGTTCATCTCCATGCTTTATGCAAAAAGAGGCAAGGGTCCTATGAAATAAATAGTACACAATCACCAATTCTTTAAAAGCGCCTTTACAAAATGTACATTTCCAGCCCTTTGAATGACTGTGACCTTAACAACAATGTTAATATAACATTTGTACATGCATAACTATTAAATAGACACAGTACTGAATTATTTGTGATCCCATTAAACATGGATACTTATCAGAAAGTAACTTGAAATTAAAAATTATATCAATATGACTGATTAAATGGATAAATCTCCCACCTTATCATGCCAGGATTACCTGACATAACCCCTTTATTGGACATTAAAAGCAAAATGTCACTGTCACAAAAAGAAAAACAAACAGTCTATATTGAGTTACACTTTGACGCTGACCTGTTAATTATTCACTAAACAAAGTTTGCCTTACCTTAATAGACTTAGCTACTCTTTCCATTCTTGGAACAACTGTGAGCCTGGTGCCAATCTTTCTGGGGACTTGTTTTGGGTATTTTCTTCTACACACTTTTATGACATTTTTTTTTACTTTTCCTTTCCACTTAAGCTTCTCTAAGAGTAGTGCGGCATTAGAAGTTCTACAGCGTTGTTTCAGGGCTGTGTCCTTTGTATGATTATATGGGTACTCTGACAATGTTTAGAGAGATAGGAACCATTTGATAGGAACATTTGAGTGAGCATCTTTCCAAATGCATATGCAGAAAGGTACAGTTTTGGCACATAAGGGTTGAGTAGTCTCTCCCCACAAGCCTCTGGAAAAGCAGATTTTGCACCTTTTCATAAATCACAGAATCCCAGAATAATCTGAGTTTAAAGGCACCCAGAATGATCATTGAGTTCAGCTCTTAAGTGAACGACACATGAAGGGATTGAGCTCACAACCTTGGCATTATTAGAACCATCCTCTAACCAACTGAGCTAATCTCAAAATTAGTCTTATTACTCATCCACAACTAACATTTAATTTCAATTTTTTTCCAGAAAGTATAAATCACTCTTTTTTTAAGGGAAGTGTGTATTAGTTTGACCATATATCTTCCCATGAGAAGACCAAACTTCCCTGAGCAGTATTTTGTAATGGATGTATTAACATTTTTAGAGAACTTTCAGAAATGTTTCCTTCATAGAACTGTTAGTAACTCTAATTATTCACTATTTATCTCAAAAAAATTTTTTGCATACCTATACTGTCAAATTTTGAAGTAAATTAAAACCTCTTATAAAAGAGGTTTGCATTAAATAAATTTTACTATGTGAAACTTTACTATGTGAAGTAAAAAAACTTTGCCATGCAAAAATTACTTATCAAAACCTGTTTAGTTTGTTAGCTGCTTCCAAACAGTGCCACCACTTACTTTTTTTATTCATTTCACTCTTCAAATATTCCTTCAAGCCAAACAGCTCAGCAGGAATACAGGGCTCATCTATCAAAACCAAGAGGAGCTAAGGTATTGATGAAGAATTAAATGGCAGAGTGAGAGTTGGCAGGGGAATGGAAATTCATATTGTATGTAGCCTGCAAAAGATACATAGGGCCTTAGAGCTGCTGGCTTCTGAGCACAGAAGAGACAAGAAACAATTTTTTTCACCACTGAAAATCATCAGCTCTGTAGAAATGACCACTCCCAGTAATGAAGTGATTGTTTACTGGGAGCCCTGGCACTTTCATTGTTTTTATCTTTAATCTTTACTACAAATGTGAATATAAACCAGGGGGGAAAAAACCCCAAACAACACATTTAATGAAAAGAAAAAGATCTTTTTCCTGACTGTTTAAAGTATTGAATGAGATAACACTGAAAGCAAAGGGTAACTACTGATTTCTAGAGTGCATGGAGCATACTTCTGAAAAATGCTGGAACTTTGCTGGAAATATCAGCAAAAGCAGGGAAAATACATACTTTTACATACAAACTGCATGGCAAAAACACTGAAGACCACTGCATTTCTAAATCATTAGCACATCTTTGTGCATTTGCTGTTAAATGCCAGTTTTCAAAGGGTGAAAGTTACAAATTTCTCTTTATTCAGTCCAATTCATGTCCAATGCAGCACTACACTCACATGAAAACAAAGACATTTTAACATTTGTCATTTTAGTTTTATCTTAGCACATAATTGAAACCCATTTTTCTTTGGATCCATATGCAACAAGCTGCACAAACTTCTTTCAGCAAGCTGCATCTTTTACATCTTTCTCAGAAGGCATATGAATACTTGGACTTTTTGTTACTTTTGTTTCTCAAGTATTCAGAAGAAGAGGACTTAAGCTTCCGGTATCACCAAATACAGATTATAAACTGCATTGATACAAAATAGAATACATAATTGATTGGAATTCAGCTGAAAAAGCAAAATTGAAACATAGCCATGTTTATATACCTTTTTAATATGTCCCTGGAAATGTATTGATCTATAGAGATGAGAAAAGTTGGCTTGTTATTCAATTTCACATCCACTACAGAGATGCAGAGCCAAATTACCTATTTTAATATTTTTGTCTATTTTGGTTGAAACAAACATTTTTTTGAATAGCATCCACTTTTTCAAATTGCTGTAAAGAACACTGTGCATTTTGACATACACACACAAACTCTTTTCTCTTTCACTTCTGTACCTTCTCTCTCTCTGTC